ATATATATATATATATATATATATATATATATATAGTATAAAGTTCAATCATCAAAATAAACCATGTCAAATTTCAAGAAAATACCCATAAAAGAAGCAATCAGTAACACCTTAGTAAACCTTTCACATTGCCGTCTATTGAAGATTTTCACTCTTTTCAAAGGTTTCCTGCCCTCCCCCAGTCATAAACTCAGTAGTTTTTGAGCTTTAGACGTGGAACTTTCTGATCTGCAGAATGTGTCACATTTTGTTGATCTACCTACACAACATTTTGACTGATAAACTTACTGTAAAAGATCACAGGTCGTGTGTGATAACCATTGTTATCTTTTTCTGAGATCAGATGAAGCACAGAGCTTCATCCTTTGTGTGCAGTCCTGAATGTCTTATTGGGCCAAAACTGGGTCAGTGAAAGAGAAAGGAAGAACTAAAGTAGAGTGTCAGTTGTTTTCTTATCTTGTGAAAACATGAAAAAGTAACAGAGATGATAAGTATTTACCAAGTTTGTGCAGGTTTAGTCAAAGAACTACCTGCCTTTCTTCAGGAAGCTGTTTAAGCTGTTTCCTCTTGTTATTGCTTCCTCAATTTACAGCTTTTGGTTTACTTCTTCTTGCAGATGTGTGAACTCTACTGTTACTTTGAAATCAAGATGATTTAGCAAAGTGCATTCTAAGTATTTGAAGAGAAGACTATTCAGATCCTCTATGCTGACAAAATTTAATTTTTTATTTTATATTAAAATAATATACTTGGCTCAATATGAAATATCAGTTGAGAGTTAAGTAAAATTATTTACGCATTGCTAGGTTGGCACAAATGTTATGTTTGATGATGGACCGATGCAAAGTAGTAGAAGTTGAAGAAAAATCATAGGTGGTTTTCAATATTTCTTACATTTAAAAATCTACAACTTGTGTCGGAAATTTACATTTAGCCCCATAAAGTGCGTCGATTGGTCTTTTCAATGTGTTATTTGTTAATGTTCTCTAACAAATCGCTGAGGTTTTCACAGAACAGTTTGATTTTTACTGATATTGCACAACACACAAGTGGAGTCAATGTACTATTGATTGCAATATTTTATTGGGGGGGTTCAGTGTGAAGGGGTTGAATACAAATCTAAAAAGTATAACTTGTAAAAAACAAACAAATCAGAAGAAAGAAATATTAAAATCATGTGTCCTTTTCCTTCCACTTCACAACTATGCACAACTTTATGTTGGTTTCTAATTTAAAATCTGAATACATTACATCAAAATTTGTAATTTTCATTAGTGTGTGTTGTCAGTAAAGCTGATGATGACGTAATTGGCTTTTCAGGCCAAAATGAAAGTAAAAAAACATTAACATTGGAATGCTTTTTTTTTTTTCTTCAGCTTGAAGTCATGGATAATGTAACTTTTGACGACTATGCAACCTGGACAGTAAATGATTCAGATGAGCTCTGCAGCTTCAGCCCTTCCCCTGAAGAGGTCCTCTCCCACACCTACATCCACTCCATCATCTGCGCCTTCGGGCTGATTGGCAACGTTCTCGTGATGATCACCTACGGTTTCTACAAGAGGACCAAGACGATGACAGATGTTTATCTGTTCAATGTGGCTGTGGCAGACCTGATCTTTGTGGTGGCGTTGCCTCTTATCACCCACAATGAGCAGAACGGGTGGCCCATGGGTTCTGTGGCTTGTAAGATGTTGCGCTCAGCCTACAGCATCAATTTATACAGCAGCATGCTGTTGCTCGCCTGCATCAGCGGCGATCGATACGTTGCTATTGTTCAAGCCAGGCGCTCCTTCGGTTCCCGGTCCCGCACTGTCCCGTACGGCCGTCTGATCTGCGCCGCAGTTTGGGTGTTTGCGCTGTTTTTGACTTTGCCTACACTTATCTACACTGATCTCTTTGAAGAACATGACCCGATGCTCTTTGAAGAACATGACCTGACGGAGTCTAATTCAACTTTGACCTGTGAGCTCAATTTCGAACGCATAATGACCGCAAAGCTGATGAAGGTGATGGTACCGAGCCTGCAGATGGCTGTCGGCTTCTTTCTCCCTCTTGTGGTTATGGTTTTCTGCTACTCAAGCATTATGTGCACCTTGCTCAAAGCCCACAACAGCCAGAGGCACAAGGCCATCCGGGTGGTTTGGGCAGTTGTTGTGGTCTTCATCATCTGCAATTTTCCTTACAATGTGACTCTCCTGATCCACACGGTGTCTCTTTTTACGGAGGGAAGCTGCGAGGAGAAAAAGACCAAACGTACGGTTCTGGCCACTTCCAGGAGCATAGCTTACCTCCACTGCTGCCTCAATCCCATCCTCTATGCGTTTATTGGAGTGAAGTTCAGGAGCCACTTCAGGAAAATATTGTCTGACCTTTGGTGCTTTGGCAAAAGGTACCTCTACTCTGCTCGCTTGTCACGTGGGACATCTGAAGTTTGCATTTCAGGCCTGAGAACCTCAGAGGCGTCAAACAACGCGTCATCCTTCAGTGCCTGACAGCCATGCAAGTAACCTCTGATTTGTCTTGTCCAGTTACTTTAGTGTAGTTCCACACATGTCAATAACAAAAAGAAATTATATTCAATTTATCATAAAAAATTAGGTTACCTGCCATTGTATGGTAACAGGCATTTTATCAGCCAGCGAATGTGAATGTGAGCCCCATGAGGATTTTGTTTTGGCTGGATGGATAATAAGTGGGCCTGAGCTCAAACTAAGCAGATCTTACCAGGGCATCAATTGGATATCAAGATCCTGATTGCATTCAGTTTAATTCCAAGTCAGTGTTACATAGAGTCGTTTCACAATAAATGTCTCAAGGCTAAAAAAGTTACCTTGAGAAATAATGACATTTAAAGCAGGCCTTAATGTCAAAAATGATCAAATGTTACAAGTCATAGAAATGGAACTGATACAGAGTGACATTCACCATCCGGTGCTTGTCTCCACTCAGCATACCTACAGTGTGCCGTAGTGCGACGTCTGCTCTTATCTTCTCCTCATTCTGCACCCTCTCTAAGAGTCATATACCCATTACATTGTTATCAAACGGTACGTTAAGCTCAATTTAATATTCAAATTAGTTTTAAAACTTTTCTATTTAAGAAAACCTAGCAGATTGCATCAAATCATTGACTGGCAGAGTTCCCTCCTTCTAGACCAGCTTATGCAAAGAAATTGCTTGTGTCGTGCTGTAGCCTTTACTGTAGTCCCTCATATCGAGGATCCCTGTAGTGACAGAGGAGAGGAAAAGCTCCTGGTAACAGGAAGAAACCTCCAGTAGAACCTGACTCAGTACAAGCCTCCATCTACCACGACCGACTGGGTCAACACAACAGAATGGAAAAGAAGAAAAAGAGGAACTGATACAGGAGTACTTTCCATGTTAATGAAAAATGAAAGGATAATTGAACAAAAGGGTTGTTGTTGTCAACAATATTTCAGCTGCTGCCCTCCTACAAGAAGGAACCACAACCAAAACAGAACCCCAGACCAGGTATAGCTTCTACAAAACAGAAACCTGTGAGAAAACTTAAAGTTTAACAGGTGAAATGACTAGAGGTTGGAGTCCTTGTCAAACGGTGCTTTTGACTAGAGTCCCAGAGGGTTAGAGCCCCAGTTAAACTACAGTTAAACGATGTTTAACTGAAGTCCTAAAAGGGGTGCAGGTTTTAATGTTTTTATCTTTTTTAATCTTTTTCAAAATCTTTCTCTTTCTCACTGTTTATTCTATGTCACATGCTGTTTTTATTTTAATTATGTAAAGCACTTTCAAAGGCCTTGCTGCTGAAATGTGCTATGCATATAAAATTTGATTGATTGATTGACTGCAAATTATTACAAGTGATATTCTGTTATTAAATATGATGTTCATGAACTGATAAGTATGAAAACAAGAAACTTTCAGAATATTTTTTTTTTCTTAGAGTTTCAAAGTAATTGTTTTGTACAGCGCTTTACTGACATAGACGGAGTTCAGCCCTGTTCTAACTAAAACAGCTACAAAACCCTCTGTTGAAAACCTGTAAATCTACAGCTAGTTTCGTTTTTACTCAGCTTAACATTACTCAGATAATGTCATTGGTCTTTTTGAAGTTGTTTTTTCTCAAACTGAGAAAGTCTAGAGGCTCCATCTATTATGCTCTTAGCACATAAGGGATAATACAACAAGGCCTGTGGATGGAAAATAAAGTGTTTTTCTGTATATAATTGCTGAAAACAATATATATTTTATTAGCTTTTCTCTTACTTTAGCAATANCCANTNTTATTCNTATTTNTTTTATTCTTATTATTGGATAAAATGTTCTTTTTAAAAATAACCTAAAGTAAGGTTTTAAAAAGTTAATGTCAGTTATTGTAAGCAATTTAAAACCACTCAGATTTAAAATGTTATATATATATATATATATATATATATATATATATATATATATATATATATAAATAAAAATCATCCAAACTTTAACAAGAGTTTGGTAACTTGAGGGAGAAATCTATTTAATGTTTCCTGCATGGAGTCTTCCAAGATGAAAATGCTTGTTTTGCCTCCTTATGTTTATCTCAATAAGCCACTGATCCAACGTTGGTTTCCCCCTAATGACGAAGACAGAACCTGTGGACAAAAATGGACCTTTTGGGTAGTGAAAGATGATTTCTTCAAAATTTGTGAAACAATTAAACAAATAACCAAAACATGTCAACTCTAATATTTTATCAAATTATGTTTGAAACTGTTTAAAGTTCATTTTCTCAGGGTGCCAGATAATAATATGCCCTTTTTAAATGACTGCTACTCAGCTTTTTTGTTGTTGTTTTTGTTTTGTTGACTTTTCTGTTTCTAATATTGCAATATATTTCTATAAATAAAAATTATACTTAAAAAACTGTGTTAATGAATGAATGAATGAATTAATTAGTAATCCACAACAGAATTTAAATGGACACATTTTTCAACAGCGTCTAGTTTTTATGACACAATCTCTTTTGGCCACAATGTCTTGTGTGCTAGATTTCAAATGATGATCATCATAATTTTTTAAAAATATTATTAAATTGCATTTTACACACATTTTAAAAACTTGTCAGTAATAAATATGTTTAGATTTCCTTGTACTATGTTGCCAAATTCATTTTGACATGTCTTTAACAAAGTTAGGAGTTTCTTCAAAACTCTGCATTATCAAAAAAAATAAAAAATATATTGAACATCTACATATTTGCACTTTCTATGTAATACTGGAAAATCATGTGAATAATTTCCTTCTTGAATGAAAACATGCTGCATATTTTTATGCAGCAACCAACGTGTGTTCTTTTAGCCTGTAATGCTTCAATTGCATCCAAAAATGTCCTGTGAAAACAGGGAACATGTAGCAAAATTTATTTATTTTTTTTATTTTACAATGGACGTTAACAAATTAAGTGGTTAAAAATCATTCACCAAAATAAAGAAAACAACAAGATTAAAACTTTTACCTAAATAGACTTATCTTTTCTGTCAGCATGCAAAATACCTTTTATCTGATGTCCTAAATAAAACACACGCAGAGAAAGCAGAAGTAAGGCCCAGCACAGTTCCAAGTCATGACTTTTGTTGTGGTGCACTCGCTGTGGAAAAGTACACTGTTTCTCACGCATCCTGCTTAGGTGGTGTGAAGCTGGTAAAACCTTGCATAAAGCGCACCAAAATATGGAATATTGAAATGGGGACTTCCAGTCAGACTCAGCAGAGCACCATATTGTCAATGCAGGTTTTATGTCTTGAACAATATGGGCACATGTGGGTACTTTCACTTCACAACCACACATCCCCGTAGTTGGCACTTTCCTTCCACCCACATAGCATCTTTAATGCAGCTTCCTGAAAATACAACCGCAATCCTTTTGAACAATGTAAATATTGAACTCACCGGAAATCAAATTCTTCGAAGGTAAAAATAAGGTGGTATGAAATACTTAGACAGGCCTGTTCCTCTTTCCTCGTCCACTGGAGGCCCTCAGAGAGCTGCTTTTAATTTAGGCCATAATTATTTTCAACCATTTAGATTCAGATGGAAACTGACAATATTTGTAGATAGCTTGAATCTCACTTTCAGAAGTTTTCCATCAGTTTGAAGCCAAATGTTTAAATACACTCTTTAAAACCACATATAATATATTTTTGATGGTTTGATATTTAATTATTGTCTATTTCAAAATGCCAGAATAATGGGAGAATTTTTCTCAACTTTCTTCAAAGATAAAAACCAACTGTTGAAAATGTGTAACTAGGTCACATTCTAGCACCTATTGATAGGTATGGTGGAGAATCTGTGATGCTAACCTCGGAAAGGCCTGGAATCCTTTCCAAGGTTCTGTAATACTTGTTAAAGTTCATGATTGCAACATGCCAGCATTTAATTTACTGGATTCTGCCAGTAAAAACCACAAAGTGTTTCTGGGGGATACTGATACCATAATTTTGATCAAATCTACACAGGGATGGTTCATCAGACAATGACTCAACCCTTTTGCATTTGCAACTCTGTTTCCAATTTGGGGGGAAAAAACAAACAAACATTCTAGCAGTTTAGGTTTTCCAGTTGTAAATTTAATGTGATTTATAGATTCGAATTTGTGCATTTTAGGACAGTCTCTAGAGAGATAATTAGCAAGATAAAGTCAGGATTTTCTTTCTTTTTTACCAATTAAATGACCCAAATATTAAGTTATTTTTATTTTTAGCCTGTTTTATCCCAACATTTCTTGCTGCTAGCATACCACATACACATTACAGTGAAAAGTGACTGTGACAGAGAGGGACTGGCAACAAGTCATTTCCTTGTCCCAAATATACTGATACCAGTAAAAGAAAAAGCCCAGATGAAAATTTACTTTAAATTAGCAATAAAAACAACAACCTAGCACATAAACGGGTTTGTTACCAAAGGCCCAACTGCAGCAGATTTCAAGAAAAAAAAATAAAAACTTTTTTTTTTTTTTCAATTTGTTCCTGTTGATGTTTGAAAGATTTGGGATTAAACAACCCAGTAAAGCAACACTACCTGCCCTGATTTTGACCCGTGACCACTGTTCAGGAATTTTGGTAAAATATGAGCCTTCATCTTCATGAGGGAAAACAAACCGGTAAAATAATATTTGCATTGCTGATTTAAAGCCCTCACGGCCACAGGCTCATTCCAGAAAACCTTCTTCCAGTTTTACCTACACATTTTGCAACATTTTGCTGCACTGGATGCTCTTGAAGGAAAACAGGTGGGAGGATAAGTGCACCTAAAGCAGACCACAGAGCCTTGTCAATAAAGGATATTTATTCCCATTAAACCATCTGTAAGTCCAAGATGAAGTCACTGCTTTTACTGTGAAACCACAATTGCGTGTGATTCACTTTCCTAAAAGTGCCAACAGTGGAAAAGCTTTACAGTAAAACCATGGCACCAATGAGTCATCTGAGTCAGGGGTTACTGTGTTATCAGACAATTTTGGGATCTTTTCTTTTCTTTTAATATAAATAAAATAGAATTCATTAAGACATGTTTAGCATATGTCTAACGTTCACTCAGTGTGAGCTAAACAAACTTTAAGAAACTTCAAACCACAGGTCAGGTCTTAGATTCCAATCTAAAAAGATCTAAAGGCCCTAAAAGCTGTGAGACAGCTTTTGATTTTTTTTGAATGAGTGTGCATTTGGCTGTGGGTTGAGTAACTGAAAAACCAAAATAATCAAGGAGTTCTGCAAAGACTCACATTAGCTTGTTCAAATGAAAAATCAGGAGATGATTGCAGACAGGAGGTCACCCCCACCAAGTACAGGAATATGCTCCAGGGAGAATCACAGCAGGATCCTGCCTCCATAGCATCCACATGGTGAACATGGTGAGCCAGGAAGGATCACATCACCATGTTTCAATTAAAATGCTGCCTGGCACCCGGATGCGGGGTTTCCTAAAGGAACACAATATCAAGACCACAATGCCTTCCCCAAACTGATAAACTAAGGAGATGAATAGTTAATCGGTTCACCACAACAAGCTGTATGACATTTTATCCACAACGGTTTCCTTTTCATATTCTCTGTATAAAAAGAGCAGTACTGTACTGCAGAGTTTACCCATTCATTGTGATTTTTAAGCAGATCCTTCTGCTGAAACTCTCATACCCATTCTTCAATTGTTTTTGCAAACAAACTGTAAAAAAACAAAAAAAAACAAAACAAAACAAAACAAAAAAAAATTGCATGTATCTGAAGCCAAAAACAATAGCAGGAATCCATCTCATGGCATTTACCTCTTGGTGAGGGGTCACAACTCCGTGCCGCCGCCCTTTGTGTCCTGCACTGCTAAACCTATTTCCCCTCAGCGGTGCTCCAGTTCTCTCCCTTTCATCCGCCTTCCTCTGGAAATGAGAGTGACGTTCCATTAGCGAGGGGAAAGAATCCCCCACCTTGGCGAGCGAGAGCTTCAATGCAGAGAGCCAATTGACTAAATGAAATTCCAACATGTGATGAGCGGGAAGAAGTAGAGAAAGGCTTGTGCAATTTCAGCCTGGT